TTTACGACCCTCGTTACGGACCTCGCCTTCGGCTCGAGCCGCAAACCTCTCGGTTCGCAAACAAAGACTTTTCAAACTCGTAGGAAAACTACTATTTTTTAAGTTTTTTAAACTTGATTTTTTTTACGCGAGCTGTCGGTTATTAAAAGGTCGGTACAGCGAGTTGGATGGTATATTGGGAAATATCATTCAATTAGACTTTATAATATCTGGGGAGTGCTTGAGACAAATGCTGTGAACAGCAAAAATAGTACTCCGTAGGATGAATGACCACGTCAGCTGAGGAAAACTTTGCAAGGGGTCTACACGAAAGACTCGAATACTTGGGAAAAAAATTATGGTAATTACGGAGAAAAGGACATGAAAGGGTAGATATTAGAGACGTAGGACACCTCGAAACTCTGCAATGGGTGTACACTGTACGTTAGCATCTTAATACTTACTAATCGACATCCAACTAATAAGCAGACACTAACTTACTTTGATAAAGATATTTATTGTCATACATATTTCCAAAATAATGCATCATCAGATTGCAGCTCATGTGATCAAAATAATGTCGACTTTTGAAAAATTAATCATAGGGTGTGTCGAAATCTTTAAACGTTTAGTTTTATAATAAAAAGACATACTCATCCAATATACCACTAAGCAGTTAATGTAATGTTAATATAATTCTTCTTTGTTGCACTTAAATGTGAAATTTTATGATTAAAAGACATAAAAAAGATAAATTTCAAAGTCAAGTTATTAAACATTTGTTTTGCAGACTTATCTCAATACTTAACTATTTTGTAACGCGTATAATAGATATGAAAATTAGCGCTGACATGAAAGAATTGATAAAGCAAAACAGCATCAAAAACAAAAGACAACAAGCAAACAAGAAAAGAAGCAAAGAACGACGAAGGAATATAGTCAGGATCCTTCTATCATCTCGTGTCGTCGTGACGTAGGCCAATAAAATTCTTCTCTGCGAACGAAGAGTCTTTAACTCTTGACCTGCATATAAGGCGGAACAACCTTTTATTCAAATAATTAATAATTTTCATCTTACCAGATTAATTGGTTTTGAAAATTTGCTATGTATTTCTAATTTTTACTGGGAAAAATTATTTAACTATAAAGAAAAATTTAAGATAGTACTTTTTTTTAGGTCTTGTATTGTGAGTTAAAGAAAACTTAAATTTTAAAACTTGAATGAATAAAAAAAGTTAACTCTGTTGCATTAAAAATATTTAAAAAAATTTAATTTCTACTTCTCCAATTACAACGAAGATTTGTCAATTAGAAAGGCAAGGTAACCAATTTCTAAAGAGTATGAATGTAACTGAGTACAGCTGATGCAATTTTCCTAATGATAACTGACATACTACCGATGTATACATTTTAAACTATTGGTCTGATTTTCAATGAATGCCAACCCGATAACAAAAATGTTGGATACTGTAGTCGTAAGTAAAGCAAGCTAAGCCCGTTTTGGTTCAGTTTGTACTGTTATCCAAAACGTAGGGTTGAACTGGTTGATGGGTGTAGAAGTTCCCCATTCTGAAGCACACCAAATTTTATTAGTTGCTGACTATTAAAAATGAAGCAATAGACCGAAATAAATGCTTAGATCGATTAACCCAGGGGTCCAATGTACTGTCTTTCTCGGCTAATCATTTCTCTTTATTGGTGACAAAAGAATCGTAATGACATTTTAATATCTTATCGACACACTTACGATGAATACATCATTAATGAACAAAAATAGTAGTTTTCCTACGAGTTTGAAAAGTCTCTGTTTGTGAACCGAGAGGTTTGCGGCCCGAGCTGAAGGGGAGGGACGTAACGAGGTTCGTAAAGGAGACTTTTCAAACGAGTATAGGAAAACTGCTTTTTCGCCCGAGGAAGTACCAGCCTCCCAAAACCACCCGAGGGCGGAAAAATTATTTTTGAACTACACCGTCACACAGACAAAGTCACCTTTTCGAAAATATTTTCTCTGAAAATCAACATACTTCCTTTCAGGGCAAATATTTTGGTTATTTAAGCTAGGCCTATAATAACACATTTCTATTGGTAACTAAACCCTTTCTCCACCTCACATGCCAAATAGGAAACCACTATATATTATTCTAAGGATTGTCAACATGATTGCTTATCGCAGATGTACTTTTGAATTCTTACGTGCAGTAGATTCAAACTGCACATATCCAATTCCGGATTCTCATAAAATATGGTGATGAATCCCATGTCAACAAATAAGACATTAAAAGTTTAATAAGCTTTGCATGTAAGGTGTCATATTTGTAGTTAAGACAGTTTTAAGTTTAAAAAAGGCGAAAAAATGATCACGAGTCCTCTATCTAACATCGCACCGTAGTTATAGTGTCATTGAGAACTTAATCGGTACGTCGATACTAATTAATGCCTGTATTTCGTTTGATATTCTGTACCAGAGTGATTTCTGTTCACATTTTATGTTTAAACAAAAAAATCTTATTCTTAACCGTCAACTATGAGTTAACAGCTGGTTTAAGGTTTAACTTTCAGTTCACACGTGGCTGTGTCTCGCAGGTTATATAATTTAAGAGTATACACTGCAACAAAACCAGACCAGACAGTGCACGATGTCAAGATATCAAGGATGGAAGAACCTCGCGGTACTTTTGCAGTATTTGCTCTTTTTCTCGACCTACTTTCAGGTTAGTCATTCAAAGTTACCGTTTACACTTCACTAATAATTTTTTTAATAGTCAATGATACCGTATAATTATGCGATGAGGATAATTCTATAATTTTTTAAAAGTTATAGAGCTTTTGTTCCTTAATAAACTGGAACTTTATTTTTTAAACTCGTAAGAAAATGCTATTAAAACTTTTTTGTTATGTGGGAAAAGAAGACTTACTTTTCAATAAATTCAAAAAAAAAACTTGTTAGTTTAATACCCTAATTACATATTTCTTGCTATGCAATCAACTAGATAATAAAGTTCGAAATAATGTTATACTGAATTACGCCTTGGATTTTATTATAGGATAAAGCTATGGAGGTATTTTTTCAAAACATGATTCGACCAAACAACAATACATGATTAACGAACTGCGAAACATAAAGAATTAATTATTTAAAACTTCGGGCCGCAAAATAGCCCCAAAGACGACGACACTTATCCGACGAAAACTACTATTAAAAAGTCTTGTATTCTGCGTTGAATAAAAATAAAATTTAAAAAGTTAAATCATTACTAAACTTTTCTATAATGAAAATCTAAAAAAACATAATTTTAATTTAATTTTAGAAAGGTAAAGTATAACCAAAATATGTACAGTATAAATTAAAACGGGTACAGTGAGTATCATTTTCTAAAAGATTAGTGGCAAACTATTGACAAGTACATTTGAAAATTACCTATTTGATTTTTAATGAAAACCAACTCAATAACAAAAATTTAAGAGACTACCCGGCAGTAAAGTAAGCACAAAATCAAACATGTAAAATTAAACTGTTTGATAGGTGAGGAGGTTCCCCATACTTAAGCAATCGGAAATTTTATAAGTCATTAACTGGTGTAAATGAAGTTATAGACCAAAATAAATGCTTAGACCGACNAATTTACAAAAAAAAATTTTTTTCTACTGCAATAAAAATCTTTAAAAAAAACGTATTTTGAATTTAATTTTTGATTCTCAAATTATCACAGAGAGCTGTCGATCACAAAGGTAAGATAACCAAAATCTGCAGAATATAAATTTAAAAAGGTACAGCCAATGCCATTTTCTTAAAGATTAGGAACATACCATCGATGTGTACACTTAAAATTAATGATCTGATTTTTAATCAAAACCAACTCAATAACACAAATTTAAGAGACTACCCGTCAGTAAAGTAAGCACAAAATCAAACATGTAAAATTAAACTGTTTGATAGGTGAGGAGGTTCCCCATACTTAAGCAATCGGAAATTTTGTAAGTCGTTAACTGGTGTAAATGAAGTAATAGATCAAAATAAATGCTTAGTCGGACTGGCCCAGGAGTCCAATTCACTATATTTCTCAGCTTATCATTTCTTTTTTCTAGTGACAAAAGAATTGTCATGACATTTTAATAATATAGTATCGACACACTAGTGATGATCTCATCATTGACGAACTAAAAAAATAATTCGAAAAAGTCAGTTAATTAAGCCTTAAAAATCTGGTGATGTAACTTTTGGAAACCGATTGTGCAAAAAAATTACATGCAAGAAAACGTAGACAAGAATGAGAAAACCAGAAGCTTTCTCCTTTATTGTGAATCGCACCATCACACTTGTACACTCGCCTTATCGCTAGTATTTTCTCTAAAAATCTCCATGTAGCGAAACCATTTTTCCTCCTCACATTCTAATAAGGAAACTGTAATGAATTACTGTAATGCTTAACAACACAATTACTATTCAAAGATGTTCCTTTAAATTTATATGTGCAGTAGAATCAAACTGTACATAACTAATTCAGGACTTTCACATAAACATAGTGACGCTTGTAAAGTTTTTTTAAAACAGAAGTATGTTTAAATTTTTACAAAAACCAGATAAATCAATTATTCAACAACAAAAATTTATGCTGACAAATGAGAAATCAATAGTTGTAAATGCCGATGTGGTAAAAAAATTATGCATATCGGGTATCAAATTTTTTTTTTTTTAAGTTTTGCGTTTAAATGAGGTGATGAAGTTATCACGAGTCCTCTATATTACTTATCATCATCACCCGGTTTAATTATTGTTTTATAATAAGCTATCCTGATCGGTACGTTACTAACGATTTATTTCACTCCTTTGTTTGATTTTCTGTACCAGAGTGATTTCAACACACTAAATGTTAAAAGAAAAGACTTATTTTTAATCGGTGACCGCGAGTGTGGTAACAGCTTTCACATCCGTTTAACTTTTATTTAACACGTGGCTGTGTCTCACAGACTATATAAGTTAAGCGTATACGCTGCAACGAAACCAGACCATACAGTGCACGATGTCGAGATATCAAGGATGGAAGAACCTCGCAGTACTTCTGCAGTTAGCAGCACTTGCCCTTTTTCTCGATCTACTCTCTGGTAAGTCATTCAAAGTTACTGTTTATACTTCACTAATACTTTCGTCAATAGTCAATAGTACTGTCTGGGCTGTACTTAGTTCTAAAATATTTTTTAACTCAAAGGGCTGTTGTTCCTCAATAAACTGAAACCTTATTATTAAACTCGTAAGAAAATGCTATTAAAATTTTTCTGCGATGTAAAAATAGTATACTTACTTCTTATAAAATTTATTTAATTGTATATTAGGGTCACATTATAAGAATACATTTACAATTTTACTATTAATTATTTCATGTCAATATGGAGAAAAAGATTTGTAAATGATAAACCCTGCGTGGTTTGCCACATTAGGCTAATCATTGCAGGGCTAAGAAAAACTCTCTCACATTGAGCTACTTTATTTAACAATTAAAACATATAAAAAATAAGTAAATTAGGTAATATATACTGCTTAAAGATATTTTCTATAGTATTCGATCCTAAGTGCCCTTCTCTCATTTGTTTTTAACCAGGCAAAAGCAGTTAAGTGATCCGTTGAAAGAAAGATTGAATAATCCTGATCCCTACATCTCTACTACCTTATCCCTCTTTTCTTCCTAATTTCCCTTTTTTCAATTAAACATACGAGTATTCGTTTTCGTAACTACTAAAGAAGATTTACTCAATTTTTTTTTAATATTCGGTTCGTTATGATTTTGTGAAAAATCGATAACTAATATTAGGACTATTGTGCGTAGCATCGTAATACTGTCACAAAGAGCCATGGAAACGTCATATTGTAAAAAATAACTAAGAAAAATACTCAACTTATATTAATTTCTATTATATCACACTCCCAACGGATCTCTCATTATCTTACTCTGGCTCATTTTTTAAAATTATTTTTGCAACACGATATAACCCCTATTTCATTACATACTATGCTTATCTTTATATTTTCTTATGCGGAAGATCATACCTACATTCGAATAATTACATCGATTACATCAATAACGTTCAATAAATATACTGTACAGGCTGTCATGGACACAAACCCCAGCTCCATCAAAGTCTTACAGAGTTGAACATAAACGAGGGAGATGCTCTAGAAATTACTTGCAATAGCAGTGGTTTAATTTCGTTTAAATTCCCAGACAAAAATGAAGACGATGTAAGTTGTATGACTATGCTACCTTATACTAATTATATTTTCATATTAATATGTATAAAACATTTAGAAAACAAAACTTTTTCAACAAACAGTGAAACTGTGGAATGTAGGTGCCAATACGGCAAGAGTTTTTTCATTGCAGTCACTAGCTTTAATGAGGTGATAGTCTGTGAAATTATAACTGTGTAAAACTTTTGTTCACAATTTAAGTGTTGCTGTAATTTTAAACTCAAAAAGTTTTTGATTTTGGATTTATTTCACTTAATTTGACAGTGTGGCTTTAATCGTTTTACATGAACAGCTGGTTTTTTTACAGTAATAAAGGAAACGGATGAGTTTGAGGCACTCGGCGCTTCCTTAGTTTAATCAATAATTGTAGTACACTTCACTTCAACATCATAATAATTACCATATTCAGAGACAAAAAGTAAAAAAAATAGTACTGAAGGTCAAGAATAAAAAAAAAAAAAAATCATCCACTTATTGCAACATTAAAAGATTGATTCACCTTTAGTTAACTAATCAATCATAATATTTTACAATAATTTTTCTAATGAGGGAAATTTCAACGATAATTTAATTTACTTGACAAGGTTGTGAAATAAAGATTAGATCAAACAGTTTTTATTTTTTAATAGATTACAAGATCCAACAATTACAGTACTTATAATCGTGACGGAAAAATCATATTTCGAAGGTCATCAACTGTTTTTGGTGACACCGGCTGGTACAACTGCACGAATACAAAATATGGGATATTTAGTACAGACTTTAAAGATTTAAATGGCCCTTGGATGTACGTTTATGTCAAATGTATGTTAATAGTGTTTTCGTTTTTGATCTCTTTAGAATTTTATACCACATTATGAAAAAAAAGTAAATTACCAAATGATTATTATACACTTTTCTTATGCAGCCAATAAAAGTGCATTTGTTCAAAGTACTGAAGATACCTTAAAAATCAAAGTACGTGTTGGTGATCAGGCAATTCTCCCATGTCGTCCAACTTCTCCTGAACTCAATGTGACGCTTAAAACTCTCGACGGTCATGTATGTACTTGACTTTAGTACGCATATTTTTACTCACTACTTGCAAGTATATAGTATGTTTTCAATTGAATAATTCAGGAGCCACGTCCGTTGGTCAGCAAAAGGATAAGTTTCGATCCAAAATGGGGTTTTATCGTCGAAAAATCTGAATTTACGGATAGTGGAAACTACACTTGTCAAGTTAACCAAGATGGTTTCAATCAAAAAATAGACGTTGACCTGTTGATCATGAAAAAAGAGCAAAAAAAACCAGTGATTTCGATAGATGGCCTGAAACACATCGTCGCAGGTTCGACATTAAATATTAACTGCAAAGCTGAAATCGAAAAGGATAACTCTCTCAAGCTCTCGTGGGCAACTCCTCGTGATTCGGTAAGATACATGAAATTTGTGCTCTTCATTTACTATGAAAAGCATTTTTCAATGATAAAAAAAGTTTNTCACATCCGTTTAACTTTTATTTAACACGTTACTGTGTCTCACAGGCTATATAAGTTAAGCGTATACGCTGCAACGAAACCAGACCATACAGTGCACGATGTCGAGATATCAAGGATGGAAGAACCTCGCAGTACTTCTGCAGTTAGCAGCACTTGCCCTTTTTCTCGATCTACTCTCTGGTAAGTCATTCAAAGTTACTGTTTATACTTCACTAATACTTTCGTCAATAGTCAATAGTACTGTCTGGGCTGTACTTAGTTCTAAAATATTTTTTAACTCAAAGGGCTGTTGTTCCTCAATAAACTGAAACCTTATTATTAAACTCGTAAGAAAATGCTATTAAAATTTTTCTGCGATGTAAAAATAGTATACTTACTTCTTATAAAATTTATTTAATTGTATATTAGGGTCACATTATAAGAATACATTTACAATTTTACTATTAATTATTTCATGTCAATATGGAGAAAAAGATTTGTAAATGATAAACCCTGCGTGGTTTGCCACATTAGGCTAATCATTGCAGGGCTAAGAAAAACTCTCTCACATTGAGCTACTTTATTTAACAATTAAAACATATAAAAAATAAGTAAATTAGGTAATATATACTGCTTAAAGATATTTTCTATAGTATTCGATCCTAAGTGCCCTTCTCTCATTTGTTTTTAACCAGGCAAAAGCAGTTAAGTGATCCGTTGAAAGAAAGATTGAATAATCCTGATCCCTACATCTCTACTACCTTATCCCTCTTTTCTTCCTAATTTCCCTTTTTTCAATTAAACATACGAGTATTCGTTTTCGTAACTACTAAAGAAGATTTACTCAATTTTTTTTTAATATTCGGTTCGTTATGATTTTGTGAAAAATCGATAACTAATATTAGGACTATTGTGCGTAGCATCGTAATACTGTCACAAAGAGCCATGGAAACGTCATATTGTAAAAAATAACTAAGAAAAATACTCAACTTATATTAATTTCTATTATATCACACTCCCAACGGATCTCTCATTATCTTACTCTGGCTCATTTTTTAAAATTATTTTTGCAACACGATATAACCCCTATTTCATTACATACTATGCTTATCTTTATATTTTCTTATGCGGAAGATCATACCTACATTCGAATAATTACATCGATTACATCAATAACGTCCAATAAATATACTGTACAGGCTGTCATGGACACAAACCCCAGCTCCATCAAAGTCTTACAGAGTTGAACATAAACGAGGGAGATGCTCTAGAAATTACTTGCAATAGCAGTGGTTTAATTTCGTTTAAATTCCCAGACAAAAATGAAGACGATGTAAGTTGTATAACTATATTACCTTATACTAATTATATTTTCATATTAATATGTATAAAACATTTAGAAAACAAAACTTTTTCAACAAACAGTGAAACTGTGGAATGTAGGTGCCAATACGGCAAGAGTTTTTTCATTGCAGTCACTAGCTTTAATGAGGTGATAGTCTGTGAAATTATAACTGTGTAAAACTTTCGTTCACAATTTAAGTGTTGCTGTAATTTTAAACTCAAAAAGATTTTGATTTTGGATTTATCTCACTTAATTTGACAGTGTGGCTTTAATCGTTTTACATGAACAGTTGGTTTTAAGGTAATGAAAGGAATTTTTTACTTCAAGATCATAATTATTGCCATATTTAGAGACAAGAAGTAAAAGAAAATGTTACTGAAGATCAAAAATTTAAAAGAAATAAAAAAATTATCCAATTGTTGCAACATTGAAAGATTGATTCACCTTCAATTAACGAATCAACGATAATATTCTACTATTTTTCTTTTAAAAAGGAAAATTATACCGATAATAGTTTATTTTCTCAACAAAATTATAAAAAAATAATTAGACTAATTTGTTTTAATTTTTTAATAGATAACAAGATCCGACTATTACAGTACTTATAATCAGGACGGAAAAATCATATTTCGAAGGTCGTCAACTGTTTTTGGTGACACCGGCTGGTACAACTGCACGAATACAAAATATGGGATATTCAGTACAGACTTTAAAGATTCAAATGGCCCTTGGATGTACGTTTATGTCAAATGTATGTTAATAGTGTTTTCGTTTTTGATCTCTTTAGAATTTTATACCACATTATGAAAAAAAAGTAAATTACCAAATGATTATTATACACTTTTCTTATGCAGCCAATAAAAGTGCATTTGTTCAAAGTACTGAAGATACCTTAAAAATCAAAGTACGTGTTGGTGATCAGGCAATTCTCCCATGTCGTCCAACTTCTCCTGAACTCAATGTGACGCTTAAAACTCTCGACGGTCATGTATGTACTTGACTTTAGTACGCATATTTTTACTCACTACTTGCAAGTATATAGTATGTTTTCAATTGAATAATTCAGGAGCCACATCCGTTGGTCAGCAAAAGGATAAGTTTCGATCCAAAATGGGGTTTTATCGTCGAAAAATCTGAATTTACGGATAGTGGAAACTACACTTGTCAAGTTAACCAAGATGGTTTCAATCAAAAAATAGACGTTGACCTGTTGATCATGAAAAAAGAGCAAAAAAAACCAGTGATTTCGATAGATGGCCTGAAACACATCGTCGCAGGTTCGACATTAAATATTAACTGCAAAGCTGAAATCGAAAAGGATAACTCTCTCAAGCTCTCGTGGGCAACTCCTCGTGATTCGGTAAGATACATGAAATTTGTGCTCTTCATTTACTATGAAAAGCATTTTTCAATGATAAAAAAAGTTTTAGTAGCCAATTATTGAATTTGCAATCATCAAAAGCAAATTGTTATTAATATTACTAGTAAAATAAACATAAAATTTAGAGTGTTACATATGATTTGTGTGCATAAGAATTCCAGGGAAATTTCCAATTTTGTTGATGAAAACCAAAGCTCTACTACTTTAGTCACGTCTAAACTTATCCTGACCAATGTCACTTACGATGACGCGGGTTACTATACATGCAAAATAAGTTCATTGTTTAGTGAAGATCAGAGTACTGATATTTATATAAAGATACACGGTAAGTTATAAGCTATGCGTATTTTCTTTACGTTTACGTATTATTTTAATATATACTAAAATGCAAATTCCTGTTTTTACAGATCCCACCAATACATACATTAACTTGACGCATTACAAAGCGAAACAGGACTTCAATGTAGAAGAAGGCTCTTCAGTAACTTTCACAGCTAACATTGATGCATATCCGATGCCAACTCTTCAATGGTAATAGATTATCTTCGAAAATGATAGAACTGCTTCATAAAATATACATTTTTTACAATAATATTTAAAAAACTATATGTATATAAAACCTTTTAAGGCTACGTCCCAACAATGATGTCATTAAATCTGAAGGCAATTTTATTATCTCCAATACCACATCGACGTGTAGTTTGATAATAAAGAAAGTTAAACGACTTGATAGTGGTATATATGCTCTTGGAGCAAGCTATGGAGGCCAAAATAAATATTTGATCTTTCATCTTAAAGTTCATGGTACATTTTATGCTCTCATTATATTTTGACTTTTCTGTATCTAATTGCATGGAATTATTCGTTATTAAATGTTTTTATTTTTTTAGCACGATCGAATTTACCAAGTACCTATTTTCATCCTGGCGATGCACCTATACCGTTTTATACAATTAACAAAAACGCAACGTTTACATGTACAAGTACTAGTTATCCTCAGCCTAATATAACGTGGACTTACAAACGATGCCCAAAGTATAATTCAACTGATGGCTGCGAGACATCTGAGTTAAAGGTTGGTTATGCTTGGTAACAAAGAAATATCAATGCACGTGGTTTTAATGGAACAATATTGAAACATGATTTTGGTATAAGATTTTCACAATTACACGTAATGCAAGCAAAATCTCTGAAGGTGTTAAAAATACTATCAGATTTATATTGATAAAACTATTAAAGAGATGAGTTTTAAAAAAATCCGTTTTAACTTTTACAGTATTTGATTTTTATCGATAAAAACAGTTAAATATCTCTAAGTATATTCCACAATTTTTCCAACCATCTAGTTTATGTTTATAACTGGTGTTTTTTGCATTCAGAAAAGGAGACATATATGAGTTGAGTTAAATACTTATTTTGAGGGTCAAATTTCTTATACCTTCTGCTCTTTTGAAGAAGCATCCGAAAATTCTTACGTAGGAAAAAAACAGTGATCTTATTATTATTTCTTTTATTAGGCTGAAAAAGTAGAATATCAGTTTGGAAATACAACGACCTCGAAAATCACAGTTAATATTACTATGTTTGGCCAAATAAAGTGCACCGCCTGCGATCTTCATCGTTGTAACTCACGACAAAAGAATATTTTGATCATTGGTAAATAACTGTGTTTATTATACTTTAACTTAGTTACTTTTTGTTACATATCTTTTTCTTAAACTAATCAAACTTGATTTCTTAATGTACTCTATGTATTATAAAGATGTGGAGTCCATGAAAGATTCATTCAAAGTTGACCAGCCGTATAAAAAGATAGCTGAAAGTGATGATGTTACTGCAACGTGTTCTGTATTGAACTACAAGTACTCCAATGTAAGATGGCTAAGGAAAAAAGGTTTCCACAACAGATTTGGTAACTTTTAAATTAATTCGATTGAAAAACATAAACTTTAAAACAAAGACAGAAATTTTACTTCTCTTTTATCTAATTATAGAACCAATTGATTTTACTTGGGAAAACACTACCTATACTACTAATGCTGTTCTCTCATTGAAAAACGTGAAGATATCTGATCAAGGGAACTACTATTGTACAGCTTGGAATAATAATTTTAAGAGAGAGTTCCGCAGAGTTGTATCTCTCAGAGTTTATGGTAATGATATATGTGCAACAATAGTAATAACAATAACAAAAACATATAATAATCATGATAGTATAAATAAGAGTTATAATAATAATAGCGATAATATTACTAGTAATAACAAAAATAATAATTCTTTGGCATTATTTTGCTGTCATTACATCGATAGCCAAGTGTGGTAAATTTCACTATAACTTATGGCAACTTTTTCTTTTACTTTAAAAAAATACTATAAAATTTTGGTAAAATTATGAGACACTTTAGTCATGGGAACGATTTTTTATTTGACGCTTTTATATTAATCTAAATAAATGATTTAATTTGGCTAACTAATGCATTCTTGGACACTTGGAACAAATCGTTTTTTAGCAGTGACAAAAACACCGTCAATTTTGATATTTCGATTCCAAGTCTCAGGTGGCTAGACAGAGGATATTTCCTGACATAAAATAAGCTTTTATTTCTGTATTGCATGATGTGGTGTTTTTAATAATTGACCAGGTGATCATAGTGTACAACAACATCTGGCAAAGAATTTGCTAAAAAACTATCACTATAGTAATGACAGGTTTATCATCATCCTTTTTAATGTGATCTTTTGAACTAAAAAAAAAAAATAAAAAAATAATTCAATAACTTAAAGCATGCAATATTTGTAAAGTAACCAACATGTATATTTCTTACTACTTTGTGACATACTTTGAAATTATTAAATCAGTACTGAATCTCAGAAAGATGTTAACTTTCTTGGGAATTGGTTCATCAATTTATTTTTAAAATATAGTATCCACCTAAATTAAGAAAAAAAAGTTGTACTAAGATAAAATTTAAAAAAAACATTATTTTTGGGTACAATTTTTTAGTAGTAATTTTTTAAGGTGAAACGTGGCTAAAAACGCATATTTTAAATATATTTTTGTTATTTACAGAGTTTAAAATACCCAAAATTGTTGAAACCAATATGAATGACACGGAAATGATTTTAGTTGAAAGGAATGATTTGAGTGTCATTAACTTATTGTGCAAGGCTAAAGGGGTACCAAAACCAGATGTTACGTGGTACAAGGATGGTTCACCTTTAGAGTTATCCAAGCAATTCAGTATGGCAGATAATAACGAGACATTGACAATACATTATCTATTGCTTAGTGATAGCGGAAATTATTCGTGTCTTGCTAAAAATCGTTTCGGAGAGGCACGAAAATCTGTAAAGCTCACCGTTCAAAGTAATAATTAAAATTCAATCATTAATATTTTTTTTACGTTAGAGATTTTTTTATCCGAATGAATTATATGCATTAACGTTTGAAGTAATCTCATGAAAATTTGTTCTTTAATTGCAGAGACTGAAGAACCATGAAAGCGCAAGCGTTCGTGTGCTTGATATATTTTTGGTATCAGGATTGTCAGAAGATGAAGTGGGCTGATCTAGTTGCTTTCTAATGATGCTTGGGTATTCTTACTCATATTTGTTCTCTTTTTATAACAGTTTTTTGATAACATAATGAGTAGCTATAACAAAACAACATACTTATTACATTGTCAAATTTAATTTATCTCAGTACAGGAATTATACGAAGTTGAAATATATAAATACTGTCATTCTGCTTAAACTATCTCTCTTAACTGGTGTATACGTACTTACTTGTAAGCATGTACAATAAACTAAAACTATTTGTTGTAATAAAAATAATGAAATGGTGAATAAATAAATGTTGATTTGAATATGTGCATAATTCTTACGAATGTAAACCTAATTTTATAAAACACAGTCGATGCAGGGAAAGTTTTATTTATTCGTATACACGTATAAATAACGATTGATAAAAAAGTTTTTTCTGTATTCTTTAAAGGAGAGACTTTAAAGGAGAAAGACTGTTTAATAATTCATCAAAAAAATTATTGAAACTTTCAAAAAACCTAATACCCCTTACAAAAATTCTTTTATTAAGAAATGAAGTAGAAAAAATAAAATTCTGATTTTTTATCACTGAAATAATCATCCCAAAATTTAACACATAAAATGGACTATTGAATTCTTCAATGTCTGATACTACAGAGAAAAATAGCAATTTGATAGTGGCCTAACTTTACATACCACAAGGAGGTTGTATAACATCAACATTTTTCGAGGAAACACCAAACGCATTTTCAACAAAAATTTTGTTTATCCTCTTAACCGAAGCGTGAATACAGCAATGTCGTTTTTACTAAAAGGTACTGGATGGTCATGGGGGATACACAAAGGGCCGCGTCAGCGGAAAAACTTTAAAAAGAAAAAAATAAATATGTCAAGAGAAAAATGGAAAAAAACAGCATTGGAAAGCAATGACAACTCATCGCTCGGATTGCGAATCGGATCAGCGAACGCGTGAGGGAGAAAAAAGATAGGGCAGTCCGCTCTTCTTTTTTCAAGACCAGGAGAATCACGAAAATCAAATTTGTCCCCTGCAAGGGCTGACCAATCGTGTGGGTTCGGGGGAAATGTCAAACTGTCAGGTATTTGGAATAGTGTTGTGTGCATGTTTGGCTGCTTTATTGAATTACTTTTTGCAGAGGCCTCGTTTTTTTCTTCCCATGGAAATCCTTTTTTTTTCCTGCTCGGTTTAGTAATTTGTTGTATGTGAGGGTAGCTCGGATTCGAGGGTTAATTCGACGTTTAATCAGTATAACATAAAGTTACCAGATGGAAAGATATTTTCTGCTTGCGTGTTGTTTTATTTTTTTCGAAAAATATTAGAAAATATCAAAGAAAATTACGGAATTTACGGATTACGGTAAGTTTTCATCATCCAAAAATAATTATTTTCCAGAATTGTTAAAGTAACTGCATGTAATGGATTTCGAAATAAATCAGAAAAATCTCAAGTGTTAGTAACGTTTTGTGGGCGGAGTTTTCCCCTTCAATTAAAATGTAAACGAAGTAAACATTAAAAATGCAAATAAAAGTATTTTTGTTAATTATTTTCTCAACCCACTATCTCTCTAATGGCGTCAAATTAATTACTCAACCGTAAAGTGTAAAAAAAAAATTCGGTTCTCACCACCGACACTTTTGCTTCAGTAGGGTGGAAATAAATTACAGCAATTTAATTTAAACTACGACTTGCGAGCAGTTTACATTACATGTACGTTTGGCCGACCAGTTGCATCATGAATTTACACTACTTTTGAATTGATTTTCACGTACGATTGATTTTCCTTCCTTGTACGAACAAACAATTATTTTTGAAAAAGAAAAGTTATCAAAATATTCTTCAGTATTTCATTACATAATTTCACGTTACAGTTGTTTTAGTAGTGGGTACTATCGTTGGATAATGCGGATTTTAAACCAACAATATATTCTCACTAACTAATAGGCATACACCAACAATGTTTATAAAGTTGTTTATTGTCATAAGTTTTTTAAAATTAAGAAAATCACATTAAGTCGATATTAAAAAAATGTATTTTTTATAAATTAGATTGTAGTTTACGCGATCAAGTGAATATGGATTTATTAAAAAAAAATCATAAGTTATGTGAAAATTTTTAAGTATTCATTTTTATGATAAAGACGTACAATTGAGTTTGTTTCAAATTTTAGAAATTAATTAACATAAAAGATCCAAAATACCATTGAATAGTTAACTTAATTTCAATCATTTTTCTTTGATTCACTTAATCGTCAAAATTTATGACTAAAAACCGTAAAAACGGAAAATTTCAAAGTCAAGTTTTTAAAAGTTCGTTTTACAGACACAATCCATGTACTATTGATTTTTTTCTAATTCGGTCCAAAAAAACAAAATTACAAAAACCATTTATGTACATGTATGATATATTATAAAAATTAATGCTTGACATGAATGAATTTATAAAAGTAGAAAGCATCTAAAATATAAGAAAACGAGGAAACAAGAGGAGAGAAGGAAAGAACGAAGAAAAAATATAGTCAAGACACTTGACCTTCCATCATCTCGTGTCGTCGTGATGCAGGCCAATAAAGTTCTTCTCGGCGAACGAAGAGCCCTCGACTCCCGACACGCGAGTGGAGCGCGACAACCTCTTTTTCCCCTGTATCGAGAAAATGACCTTCGATTTTTTTCGCTTTCATCTCTATTAGAAGGAGTGATCGCATTCTTCTTCGACACCGTCGACCATCAATTCAAACATTTCATCGAGTGTCATCTGCATCGTTTAGAACTTTAGCATATTGAGTTTTTTATGCTTACAAGTTACATATTACATAAAATTAATCAAAATATCTTATTATTATTATTATTATTATTATTATTATTATTATTATTTGTACAACTTTGTTAGACAACTATTAAAGAAATAAAAAATATACTTGTGTGACATGTGGTGAAGCTCTAAGCTAATTACTATCGTAACGTAATTAAAATTACTTGTATGAAAGTAGTAGTATTATAAAATACCAATTTACAATTAATCAATTTTAGCAATGGCATTATAGTGTGCGCTAATTTTTCCTTGTGAATATCAATTGATAAAGACAATTTTCTAGTGTTAATCGTTATCGTGTTGACGGATGGCTTGTAACTTAAGTTTTGAAGTTTTATAACTTTGGTCTTGAAAGCGTTATTGACACTCATTTTATTATTACTTATAGACATTTCTATATTTTAATATGTAATATATATACACGTATGAATGACACGGAAATGATTTTAGTTGAAAGGAATGATTTGAGTGTCATTAACTTATTGTGCAAGGCTAAAGNGTTTAAATTGAGGTGACAAAAAAAGTTATTGATTTGTAGCTTATCAAACATTTTTTTTACCGATTGAAACGTATAAAAACAGTCTGGTGATTGGGGTAACGTATTATGGAAATAGTATGAAGAAAGCAGTAATGGTAAAACCTCTATAAATAGTAATAGTACTATACGTAACCGTAAAAAAAAAAACTTGATATTTTTCCAAGGCATACCTATCACTTTAGACGATCCAATCGTATTTATTTAAACACAATTCCAAATCACTTCGGTCTAATCTAAAATAAAAAGTGGAAAAAGAAAGCCAACGAATACCCTTGAATCGAAAATCGACGGCCCATTGTTTTTTTCCTCCCATCCCTGCTCTTCCCAGGCCTTCAATAAAACTGCAGCGCCAGACGTCAATACCAGCCCCGAAAGAAAGCTCAACAAAAGTCGCGCATCAGTGTGAAAGAGACAAAAGGCAAATAAGCTCCGAGCGAATATTTTGCCCGTCCACCGAACGTAGAAGGAGTAGAGAAAAAAAAAAACGAGATCACAAGAAGGGACAAAAAAAACATCAGCTCTGCCTGGGATAAATCCGGGGTTCGTGCAGCACACAGTAGCAGGGCAAATAAATTACCGGAAATAAATTTTGGCCCGCACACGCGCACACACAGTTCCGATATCTGGATAACTTCCAACGTCGATATTCCTCCGGTTTGCCCGGCGGAGCGAAGTTACGCCACGCAATCGCCAGTACCTCGCTACACCCCGAACTTTACTCGGTATAAAATAATATTCAATCTTCTCGCAGAGTCGATTTTCGCGGGACGCGTTATGGGCCCAAGTAACTTCCTTGTGTACCATACCCGGCTGTACAACCCCCATGAATATTAAATGTCAATAAGTGACTCTGTACACTCGAAGCCCACACATCGCGAGGAGTAGGTTGTACCCATAGTGCGTAGCTTTTCCGAAGTCGACTTTTCATGAATAGTAATGTGAGTGATAATCCTCCACCCCTAGACGTCACGTGTTAATTCAACCCTTCTGCGTATGGTTGGTTGCTTATCTTTGCTCTCGTATCTATACTTTCGACAGCTTGGATTTTTTTCGCGCGAATAATCGAAGAAAAAGAAATGTATCTGGTGGTGTAGATCGACCTGCTCCTTTGTTTCATTGGTTACCTTTTACGTTGTAAAAAAAAAAAAAAAAAAAAAAAAAAAAAAAAAAATCCGAATAAATACGATTTTCATTATTCAACGATTCAGCCACAACAGCGGGAGCGAAGTATATAATTAAAAGGGTATATTTTATCGACATGGATACGGTGCTGACGAGATGTGTATAATTAAATGAATTTAAATTCGATTCTGGTGTGTGTACTCCAGGGGGTAGTGACCCTTCTTTTTCTTCTACGGCGCTCTGGACGACCAGAAGGGAGTAGACGAGGGGATCAACAATCTTTACCCATCGGAGCGCGAAAAGCCTCTTGCGATCATGGAGTTACGCGCTTACCTCTGTGTATACGTGTGTTTCACTTTTTCACGGAAGCGGTGGGGAGGGGGGAGAGTCAGAGGGCTCGTGAAGAATAAAAGAGGGACTGAAATGGGTTTCGGGGTCGTTGGCCTTTTCGCGCGAGCTTTTTTTTCGGAGGACAGAGAGAGGGAAAAAAAGCACGTCCACTAACACGCTTATGCGGCGAGCTTGTTCGGGCCGTCA